CCTCCTTCTCTTCCTTCTCTTCCCTCTTCCTCTTTCCTCTTCAGAGATCCTCCAGCCCTTCTCTGGGCTCTGGCATTCCCTCCCCAGAGTCCCCAGAATTAAACTATCTGCAGCTGGCAAAAATCATGCCCCTCCTAGAGCACGAGACAGTCATAGTTAACAGCTGTGGACAAAGTGAAGGCGCCCCATATCCCACACCTGGGATTTTTAAGAAACCAGAATTCTCACTACAACATCACGAGAGGTATTTACCTAATCCAGTCTCATCCCTTACACCCTCAACACAGCGGTGCCCTGTTCTCTGTCAGTGTCGCTGTCTGTACGTGCAAGCACATCCAGACAGTTTCAACGACGTTTCCTGTGTGTCCCTTAATTTAACTCTCGAACATTGCAAGTCTTCTTCATATTAAATGTAAAAGACCCTTTTTTCCAAAGTGATGTCTACCACTATGCTCTAAACCCTACGGTAGCGGTTCTTAACGTGTGGGCTGCTACCCCTCTGGGGGCTGCATATCAGAGATCCTTCATATCAAAGTTACATTACAACTCATAACAGTAGCAAATTACAGTTAGGAAATAGCAATGAAAATAATTTTATGGTCAGGGCCACCACAACATGAGGAACTGTAAAAGGGTCACAGCATTAGGAAGGTTGAGAACCACTGCCCTGTGGTGTGCGTCTGTCTTGCATGGTGGGAAATCTAGGCTTTGTGGGTCCTAGGAAGCCCCAGGTTATCCGCCCTACTATCGCTCGGGTTCCCATTGCCCACTCTAATCTGTCATTCACAAGGCTCCCTTGCTGTGATTTGTGCCTCAGATGCGTAAAACGTCCCCTGATTCATCAGAGCGTCCTTGTATGCTCTGTTTCCTGTGTCTGGGATGCTCTGTGGTTCTAATGCTGGCTGCCTTTTGCTCGTTTAAGTCTCTGCAAAAAAAAAAAAAAAAAAGTCACTCCTGACAGAGTGTCCCTCCTCATCTTTCAGCTGTCTTTGTTTCTTCCACAGCACTTGGGCTACCTACAGTATTGATTAGTTATCTGTCTCTCTTCTGAAAGTGGAAGTTTATGAGGGCAAAGACTTTCCCTTTTTCACAGATGACTCCAAGGATCCAGAACAACAAATCGATGTTGGTCTAAGCCAGTGGTTCTCAACCTTCCTAACACCTGGACCCTTTAGTACTGTTCCTCTGTTGTGGTGACCCCCAACCATAAAATTATTCTCATTGCTACTTTGTAACTGTAATTTTGTTTTCCTGAATCGTGATGTGATTCTGTGCTCTCGATGGTCTTAGGCAAGCCCTGCGAAAGGGTCACTTGCATTTCCCCTTGCAGTCTCCAAAGGGGTCGCGACCCACAGGTTGAGAACCAGTGGTCAGTAAAGAAAGCAGGAAGAAATCAAAACAGTGACGTCAACTAACCTTGCCGTAGCTTAGCAAATTTCACACATGCTCACTTCGAGCAGGATTTCATTAGAAGTAATATTGCCGTTTAAAAGGTCTATAACTGGCTTTTCTAGCTTTGTTTTGAGGTTAAAATTGATTGATGAAAGAAAACAAAAGTCAGGCATGGTAGTACATCCGTGTTCTCCAGTACTCAGGAGGCTGAGGCAGCAGGTCATGGGTTCAGCGCCATTCTAGCCACATAGCCAGACCAGTCTCAAAAAGCAAATAAACCTGACTGAGTTGAACCAGTTATTAATGTGCCGTGGTTGTGTTAGATTGTTACAGAGCAACAGACTGGACAGAAAATCCAGATCGTGACAGCACTTGATCACAGCACACAGGGCAAGCAGTTCATCCTGGCAAACCATGAAGGATCTACCCCAGGGAAAGTCTTCCTCGCAACTCCGGACGCTGCAGGTGTCAACCAGTTGTTTTTCACCAGTCCTGATCTGTCTGCACCACACCTCCAGGTACATGATGGTAAAAGATGTCTCTTCATTTACACAGGGAGACAAAGATGGATAGAAAAATAAATCTGAAAGAAGAAACTAGAACTCTGCCAGCATCCAAATAACTATACCTAGTGGTGCGCTCTTGATATAATTTAATAGGCTTAGTAGTTTACCCACGAGCACCTCACCTAGTCTCACTAATGGCCAATTATGTGGTGTCTTGATGTAGCGGTCATAATTGTATAATTATAATTACTCCCATTGATAGCATTGATGTATAACTCCCTTTCTTTTTTAAGAAAGAATCCACAACTATCTTTTAAAATCTACAACTATCTTTTTTTTTTAAATCCACAACCATGTTTTTATGCTGTCACTTTGGGGTTTGGAGGCAGCGGGACTCATCTGTCTGACATGGAGTCTTTCTGTAGTCCAGGCTGTTTTGAACTCCCGACCCTTGCCCCCAAGCCTTCCACATGCTGGCATGACAGGTGTGAATCACTGCATCCGGCTGTATTATATGTTTTTGCCGTGCCATTCCACACTAGTCTGGAAGGGTTCTGAACTGTCAAAGACAAATGTCATGAAAGGTCTTAGAACTTTTAGAATAATTACACATATTCTATATGAATAACATCAGTGTGTGTTAGTGGCTTACATTTCAAAACACTCGTGTATTTGTATGTTGAGCTTTTTAAAAAAAGATTCGTTTATTTCATATGTATGTATGTATACACCTGAGGATATGTGTTTGCACAACATGTATGCAGATACCTGTGGAAGCCAGAAGAAGTCACTGATCCCTGAACTGGAACTTCCCCATTAATTGTGAATTCCTGATGTGGGTGCTGGGAACTGAACCCGCTCTGCAAGAGCAGCAAGGGCCCTTAAGCACGAGGCCACCACCAGTTGGGTTTTGGTGCTTTGGGTTTGGTTTTGAGAAAGAGTCTCGCTATGTAGCCCTGGCGGGACTGGAATTAACGAAGCAGACCAGGCTGGCCTTGAATTCACAAAGATCCATCTGGCTTCCCCACCCCGCCTCACAGTACTAGGGTCAAGGTGTGTGGCATCCAGGCCACTCATTGGTCCTCAGTGGAGTTCTGATTGCAGTGGAGCAAGTGAAGAGACAGCCATGGTTTTGTCTATGTGTGAAAGCAGGCTAGCTTCACTGGCATACCCATGGTAATAGGATTCTTAGTTTTAAGAGTAATTCACGTCACATTAAGAAGTAACCCTGACTCTGATTCTTTCTGTTTGGACAGCATGAAGCTGTAGCAACTAATAACATTTTTCTTCTTTTAAAAGCTCTTAACAGAAAATTCTCCTGACCAGGGACCAAATAAAGTTTTTGATCTTTGTGTTGTGTGTGGAGACAAAGCATCAGGTATGGTTGCAAATAATCCTGTGTACGTTATAAACTGTTAAAGTAACTGATCTCAACCACGTTTCCTCTAAAATTAAACAATAAACAGGAGAATATGTTGTTTTTATGCTACATATTTGTGGCCTATAAAACTGTACTTTTCTCCCTCTGGTTTTTGTTTTGTTTTATTTTTTTTCTTCCATGTCAATTAATTTGATTTAGAATGGTATAAAATATTTGTTTTGGTTTCACTGTTGAGAAGTAAACACATAGAAAAGTTTTAAATGTAAAAATTAAATTTGCCAGAGGAGTCATTGAAAAATGAATCGTGGTCTTTACTAATATACTATGGTGTTAATAGATTCTTAATACAATTCCCTGCCTTAGGAATTCAGGGGACATTGAGTTGCAGAAGTAGAAGATTCTGTGGTTAGCCTTTATTTGCAGTTCTGCATAACAGATTTATTTTCCTATCCAAGAATGAACCAGGCCCACCCCTGATTTGCTTCTGTAATCAGATAGGGTCTGCCAGGGACGTACAGCTCTAGGACTGGGTAGGCTGTTCTCGGTTATAAGTGCTCAGAGATGAGTCATTTAAATTCTGACATTGCTTACTTCTCGTAAAAGATTCACATTCAGCCCCTGGTCCAGCTTGGTTTTGTTAATTTTTTTTGAAATTTCATTACAAAACCTTCATCAATTTGTTAATATTGTGTGTGCACATGTGTGTGTTCGCATGCTTGTGTGTATGAGTTGGTGTGTGTGCCTGATACCTGTGCAAGCTAGAAGAGATTATCAGTCCTCTGGAACTAGAGTTACCAGTGGATGGTGGGTGCAGGGACTCGATCCTGGACCGTCTTTAAGAGGGTGCTCTTAACTGCTGATCCATCTCTCTAGCCCCAGACTTTAATAGCTTTACCCGAAAGTTTTGAAAGTGGAACTCACAAAGAAAGATGGTTATAGGCTGGGCAGTGGTGGTGCACGCCTTTAGTCCCAGCACTTGAGAGGCAGAAACAGGCGATTTCTGAGTTTGAGGCCAGCCTGGTCTACAGACTGAGTTCCAGGACAGCCAGGACTATACAGAGAAACCCTGTCTCGAAAAACCAAAAAAAAAAAAAAAAAAGAAAAGAAAAAGAAAAAAAGAAAGAAAGAAAGAAGAAAGAAGGTTATATTTCCATGACTAGGTAGCCCTTTTCACTTTTCTAGACTACACAGCTTTAAGATTAAAATATCTGTTGTAGCCAAGGATGCAGATTGGTGGTAGGATGCCTGCCTAACAAGTATAAGGTGCTGTATTTGGTCCTCAGCAGGAGGAAAAGAAAAACCAACAACAACAAAACAAACAAAAACCTACACACTGTTATACAATATATGACAAAACTATAATTTGTAAGTTTTCTCAGAACTAAACATTTTAACGTGCATAATAGAATTTTTGATGATGATTTTGTTCTTTCCTAAATTCTTTAACATTTTTAATGTTACATTATAGAATTTAAAACTGTATCATTATTAAACTTACCACAGGATATAGTTGTTTGATTTTCTATTTAAATAAATCCTAAAAATTTTGTCAGAGTCTCAAAATCACAATCTCGTTTTATATATTGTTGTTTTAATAGAAAAAAAAAGAATTTATTTCGCTTCTAATCTATAGTATGTTTTTAAATGTTTCATCTCTAGGACGTCATTATGGAGCAATAACTTGTGAAGGCTGCAAAGGATTTTTTAAAAGAAGCATCCGAAAAAATTTAGTGTATTCGTGTCGAGGATCCAAAGACTGTATTATTAATAAGCACCACCGAAACCGCTGCCAATACTGCAGGTTACAGCGGTGCATTGCCTTTGGGATGAAACAAGACTGTATGTACTTGCTTTAAAGGAGGAGTGGTTTTTAACACATCAGCCAATGGAAAGTGCATACAAGTTAGCACATTTACACAGCTCAGTATACGTGGGGTAGTAGTTACTTTTCTGTCTCTGTGATTAAATGTCATGATAAAAAGAACTAAAGGAAGAATAAACTTATCTGGGTTTGTGGGCAGGAAGGTATAGTAAGCTAGCATGAAGTAAGCTGATCCTGTTTTTAGCCCCAAAGAGAAAGTGGAGTGAGTGTCTAAACCCTCAGGATTCACTCACAAGGATATACTTTCTCCAGCAAGGCTGTTCTTGTTCAAACCGGAGCATGTGGCTTTTAATTCATAGCTGTCCAACTAACAATAGACTATATATACATCCGTATTTAATAAACAAAGATTTTTGATTACTCCTGTGACAAGCACATCAGTTGACACATAGCACTCAAATGATTTTTGTAAGTTGTCTCAGAATTGAAAAACTGCAATGAGCATAATAGAACTTTTAGTGATTTTGTTGCCTTTCCTAAGTTGTCAGTAGCATTGTTAGTGTTGCGTTAGAAAACTTAAAACTGTGTATCATTAAAGCAGCAAGACAGCCCTGTGCTTTGTGACTGAGGCCCAGAATGTGGTCTTGGTAACAGCAGCCAATACTGATCTGTCTGTGGGCTAAACAGTAGAATGTGTCCACACAATCTCAACTGCAGTTCTCTGTGCTGGTTACACTGTTGCCACCTTAACAGAGAAGGTTGGAAACTCATTAAAGCACGGGGGAAACCAAGAGGTGTCTGGCATTGAGTTCTGACAGTTTGTTCTCCCCTCTTCCCCCAAAGAAAGTATACGTCTATAGCCAGGCAGTGGTGGCACACGCCTTTAATCCCAGCACGTGGGAGGCAGAGGCAGGTGGATTTCTAAGTTTGAGGTCAGCCTGGTCTACAGAGTGAGTTCCTGGACAGCCAGGGCTATACAGAGAAACCCTGTCTTGAAAAACCAAAACCAAAACAAAACAAAACAAAAAACCCCAAAGTATACGTTTAGCAAATGTCTTGCCTCCTCTTTAGGTATTACAAGATTCTTATAGATATCACATATTGTATAGATGTATATATTATGTGTAATATGGATTTATTTTTTAACTTAGGCCTTTTCTATTAGTATTATCTTCAGTTAATTAACTTTTTCTTTAGCTCTCTCTCTCTCTCTCTCTCTCTCTCTATATATATATATATATAGATAGATAGATAGATAGATAGATAGATATAGATATAGATATAAAGGACATGTCATTTCAGTTCTTCCTTCTTGATAGTGAGGTTTTTTAAGAGTTCTATTTTTCTTTCATTGGAGTGCTGAAATAGAGGTGAGAATAGCAGGTAAATTAACTTAGTTTTACTAATAGAGAGTGTGGTGGTTTGAATATGCTTGGCCCAGGAAGTGGCACTATTTGGAAGTGTGGCCTTCTTGGAGTAGGTGTGGCCTTCTTGGAGTAGGTGTGTCACTGTGGCTGTGGGTTTTAAGCCAGTCTTCTCCTAGCAGCATTCAGAACAAGAGGTGGAACTCTCAGCTCCTACCTAGATAGATGCTGCCATACTCCCACCTTGATGATAATGGACTGAACCTCTGAACCTTAAAGCTAGCCCCTATTAAATGTTGTCCTTTATAAGAGATGGCTTGGTTACAGTGTCTGTTCACAGCAGTAAAATGCTAAGACAGGAGTTGGAACCAGGGACTAGGGGTTTGCTGTGATAGGCCTGACCATTCTTTTGTTTGGAAGAATGTGGATTTGGGGGCTTTGGATTTGGAAAGCAGTGGAATGCTTTAAGAGAGGCTTAATGGACCATCCTAGTAGGAATATGAGTATGGAAGACTTGCTGAGGGCGATTTTGAACTGTGGAAGCCTGGTTCTAGAGGTTTCAGAGGAGAAGAATTTTAATATGTGGCCCAGAGACTGTTCCTGTGATATTTTGATGAAGCATGTGGTTGGTTTTTGCCTTTGCCTAAAGAGTCTGCCTGAGGCTAAGGTAAAGAGATTTATATTAATTGTATTGTCAAAGGAAGTCTCAAAAAAGCCCTACAGAAACATTGTTCTCCGATAAAGTCTCATGAAGAGCGTTTTTAAACAAGCATAGCAAGCTTAGAAAGGAAAAATATAAAATGTATGGTTCAAATAATAAAAGGACACCAGGAAATGAAATAGAGCGAAATCCTGTGTTCAAGGAGATAAAGAAATTAAAGACATGATTTCAGGGCAAGATCCCACCCAGCTAAGCTTACTGTTGGTGTTTGCAGTTGAACAAGGAATAGTTTGGATTTTTAATCTGGAATGAACTACAATCCAGAAATGGAGGGCACACTTATGATTATGATCATGAGGCTGGAAGATACAGAATTTTCATCTGGATCTTGAGGTACAATGGCCATGAAAAGCTTAGGCCCAGGCATGATGGTATACACTTTTAATCCCAGGAGACAAAGCCAAGCAGATCTCGGAGTTCAAGGCCATCCTGGAACAGAGCAGGTTCTAGGTGAGGAAAAGTTTAAATCCAGGCATGGTGGTACACACCTTTAATCTCAGCATCCAGGAGACAGAGTCATACAGATCTCTCAGTTCAAGGTCAATCTACAGAGCAAGTTCCAGGATAGCCAAGCTTAGGCAGTGAAGGAGTTGGAAAACAGAAAGCTGGTGATGATGTAACAGAACAAGGGGGCCATGTTCCAGCTCCAGAAAGCAGCAGAACTGGGCAGTTTCAGCCATATGACTCTGGCTTTAGTCAAGAGGAGACTACTAGAGCAATTGATGCTGGTTAGCTGGAGCTAAGAAATTAGCAGTGAGTAAGAAGAGACCAGCATCACTGAGGTAAAATCTTCTGGGAAATGTTTTCTGGGAGCATAAAGAAGCTGTGTTCCAGAGATAGCCAATGTTGTTCCTTGTACTGCAGCTGGACTTGGTAAATTGTAAGAATTGCCTAGGTGGTACTGATTTTGAAGGCATGAAGGGGTTATGGAGAACAGCTGAGGCTTGGCACTGTGAGAGGCCATGGAAAGCCATTGGTAAAGGTGCAGCCTCAATTGTCATTGACGGCCCAGGATTGAAGGAGTCATGCAAAGGAGTTGAGGCTCGGCACCATGAAGACAGCCTATGAAAAGCTATTGGTGAAGCTGAGTTGCAGCGGAAGACCACATGCCTGTATCATAGGATGATCACCAAGAACAGTGGTAGCAGTGGAGTGGAGTCGACCAAAGCCTGGAGTGCTGCAGAGGGCAGAGCTGGAGAAGTGACACCAGCCCTTTGGAGAAGCCCAGAAGATCATATGTGGATAACAGACATTGGAACAATAAACTGTAATGTTGAAGTTGCCTTGGAGACCCCAAGATGTTTGAGACGCCAGAGCTGTGGTCTATCTGCTGAGGAGAGCTGCTAACGGAGTGGAACCAGCCCTGGAGAAAGAAGTGTTGCTGTCAATAAAGATGAAAAAGAAGTTGGAGATCTGAAAACCACTTTGACATCAGACATGGAGATGCAGAGTTTGGAGTTTGCCCTGCTGGTTTCCTGTCTTGCTTTGGGGACTGCAGTTAAGTGATTGGATGAATCTCAGAAGAGACTTTGAACTTTGGACTTTTAACACTGTTGGGACTGCTATAGACTGTAGGGACTTCTGAAGTTGGACTAAATGTATTTTGCATTATGCTATGTTTAGGTATGGCCCCCATAGACTCATATGTTTGAACAAGCCTATGGGGGCCAGCGAGTGGAATATGATGGTTTGTACATGCTTGGCCCAGGGAGTGGCACTATTAGGAGGTGTGGCCTTGTTGGAGTAGGTGTATCTCTGTGGGCAAGGGCTTTAAGACCTTTATCGTAGCTTTTTAGAAGCTTCTCCTAGCTGCCTTCAGAACAAGACATGGAACTCTCAGCTCCTACCTGGATGCTGCCATGTTCTCACCTTGATGATAATGGACTGAAACTCTGAGCCTGTAAGCCAGCCACAATTAAATGTTGTCCTTTATAAGAGATGGCTTGGTCATGGTGTCTGCTTACAGCAGTCAAAATGCTGACTAACACAGGGAGCGATGTTGTTGAATGTGCATAGATTTTTGTAAAGATTCATGGCTGCCTTTGGAATCCAGCTGGAAGCAGTGTTTCTCTCATTAGCCATGTTGGTAACAAGCTTAAATTTATACGTTTCCATGGAGTCTGTATTGTAGTGTAATTGTCTAACATGTTTTTGTAGCCGTTCAGTGTGAAAGAAAACCCATTGAAGTATCCCGAGAAAAATCTTCCAACTGTGCAGCTTCAACAGAAAAAATCTACATCCGCAAAGACCTCCGAAGTCCTCTCGCTGCAACGCCAACCTTTGTCACAGACAGCGAGACTGCCAGGTGCCCTACAGCTGACATTGAATATCATTTGCTTCTCTTCACAGATCTACTAAGACTAACACATGTGCCTCGTTTGTTGCAGGTCAACTGGACTGTTGGATTCAGGAATGTTTGTGAATATTCATCCATCTGGAATAAAAACAGAACCAGCTATGTTAATGACACCAGATAAGGTATGTAGCGTAATTTAATGACCCTCCTCCACCTCTCCCCCTCCCCCATCTCTGTCCTGCTGGAGTCTGAGCTCTTAGTCCCATGCTCTGTCTACTGCAGAGCAATACTTCCTGTTTCCTTTTTCAAAAGATTTTATTTATGTATGCTCTTCCAGAGGTCCTAAGTTCAATTCCCAGAACCCACATGGTGGCTCACAGCCATCTATAATGAGATCTGAGGCCTTCTTCTGGCCCGCAGGCATATATGTAGGCAGAATGCTGTATACATATATACATAAATAAATCTTAAAAAAAGAAGGAACTCAGGGTACTAGTCAAAACACTCATTTGAGTGTCAAAATTTCATTCCATTCTTCCTGAGCATGCTGTGGGGTCTGGGGGTCAGAGTAGGAAGATATTGCCTCTGCTTTCAGATTACACAACCAAGTCATCTAGAGTCCCTTGAGACTGAAACAGATCTTCATTTGTCACGGGGTCTAAAGAAAAGGCACACACATACATGCTTGTGGGGACCCTCATGTTCACAGAGGCCAGAGGGGTTGTCCTGCTGTCTGCCTTATTCCCTTGAGACAGGGTCTTGCTGAACCCAGACTCAGATGTCCCATTGGGTTAGTAAACAGTGAGCTCCAGCAATCCTTCATCTTTGTCTCCCCCAGGTGTCGCAATTACGGGAACACACGATTGTTTGTGTGTGTGCTGGGGATGCGAACTCAGACCTTTGTGTTACACAGCAGCCTTGTTGCCCACTAAGCCCTCTCCCCAGACCAAAAGTGTTCTTTATTTAGATAAAAAGTATAAATTTTCTTTAGCTTTCAAAAAACTGTATGAGAAGAAGACATTTTCTAAAAAGATTTTTCGAATGTATTTTTATTTACTGTGTGTGTGTGTCTTGTGTGTTCATCAGGACACACATGAAGTTCAGAGGACAGCTTTCTGGAGTCCGTGCTCTTTCCATCGTGTCAGTCACTCTAGTCACCATTGTTAGTGGCAAGTGCTTTTACTCTGAGTAGTCTTGCTTGCCTTGAGAAGATATGAGGGTGCTTGTGGGAAGACTTCCTTCTCCCTGCTCTGGGCTCTGGCTCTGTAGCACTCAGTTCCACAGTACTAAGTACTCTGGCTCTGTAGCACTCAGTCCCACAGTACTAAGTACTCTGGCTCTGCAGCACTCAGTCCCACAGTACTAAGTACTAAGTACTCTGACTCTGCAGCACTCAGTTCCACAGTACTGAGTACTAAATACTTTGGCTCTGCAGCACCATTCCCATTGTACTAAGTACTCTGGCTCTGCAGCACTCAGTTCCACAGTACTAAGTACTACATACTCTGGCTCTGCAACATTCAGTCCCACAGTACTAAGTACTAAGTACTCTGGCTCTGCAGCACTCAGTTCCACAGTACTAAGTACTCTGGCTCTGCAGTACTCAGTTCCACAGTACTAAGTACTCTGGCTCTGCAGTGCTCAGTCCCACAGTACTAAGGCATCATTCAGTGGAAGAACACTAAGTACTCTGGCTCTGCAGCACTCGGTTCCACAGTACTAAGTACTACATACTCTGGCTCTGCAACATTCAGTCCCACAGTATTAAGTACTAAGTACTCTGGCTCTGCAGTACTCAGTCCCACAGTACTAAGTACTCTGGCTCTGCAGTGCTCAGTCCCACAGTACTAAGGCATCATTCAGTGGAAGAACACATGCTACATACATGAGGTTCTTGGTTCAATCCCAGCACCAAAAGGTGTAATGCCAAGCCCCTAAACCACTGATACATGTACCTGGCCCCAAAAGAATTCAATAAACTGAAGCAGTGAGTATATAAAAACCTTTGAATTGGAAATATTCCCCAAACGTCATGGATCACTTTGAGAAGTGTCAGCTTTGAGAGTGTCAGCTCATTGCGTTTAAGGTGGAGAGCTGAAAGGAAGAAAAAGGAAGAGCACCCTGCTCTTCCTGAGCTCTTCCTATGCGGGGACTTTAGCTCAAGCAGGGTAGACAGGATGCTTCTGACAAAAGAGGGGCAGCCGATGCATTTAGATGTCATACCAGCTTGTTCAGTTAGAAGTTTTGAGGGGCCCAGTGGTGAAGAGCACAGATTGCTCTCATGGGGATCAGAATTCACTTCCTAGCCTTTGCATCAGGCCGCTCACAGCCCTCTGTACGTCTACCTCCAGGGCATCCAGTGCTCTTCGCTGGCCCCCATGACCCCCTGCACTCATATGAATGTATCCACTCATAGACGCATATAAATACACACTATTTAAGAACTAAGACTGACTCTTTGGGGCTGGAGAGGTGAGATAGCTTAGAGGTTAGGAACTTCCACTGCTCTTGTGGAAGACTCGCGTTCAGTTCCCAGCCCCCACATGACAGCTCACCACCATCCGTAACTCCAGTTCCCGGAGATCCAGTACCCTCTGTTGACCTCTGAGGGCACTAGGCTTCATGTGGTGAACAGACATACATGCAGGCGAAACACCCATACACATAAAAAATTTTTTTTTGATCTTAAGGGAAATTTGGAAATCCTAATATTAAGTCAATGCTAAAAAGAACTCGAAATTTTACCTAATTTATTATCGTTTTATAGAGAGAGTAACTATGACGGATAGATTAATTAGTAAGTAGAATAGTATAATTTTTGTTTTAAACTTTTATAATTTTTTTAAAGAACTCGTACTTATTTTAAAACCTATATTTTCCTCAAGAGTCAGTTTCTCTCCCTCTCTCTCTCTCCCTCCCCCCACCCCCCAGCTCAGAAAAGTCTGGAACTCACTATGTAACCCACACTGGTCTTGAATTTGTGGCAATCTTTCTGCCTCAGCCTCATGAGCTGTGGGGATTACAGAAACAAGCTGCTGTATTTATCAATTTGATTTACTAATATGCTTTTCTTTTCGTTTTCTTAATCGTTTGTAGTTCATGATCTAGAATTTGATATTTAAGGTTTTAAAATATATCAGTACCACCTTGCAGAATTTTAGTGCTTTCTTCTTTTCTTAAAGGCTGACTCCTGTCAGGGAGACTTAAGCACACTGGCCAGTGTGGTCACGTCATTAGCGAATCTGGGCAAAGCTAAAGACCTTTCTCACTGTGGTGGCGACATGCCTGTGGTGCAGAGCCTACGCAACGGTGATACATGCTTCGGTGCATTTCATCACGATATTCAGACCAATGGTGATGTTTCAAGGTAGGGTCTCTGTGACCTCATCCTTCTAAGTGTCATTTTAATTGACCAAAATGCCTTTGCATTAAAGTCTCTCTATTCAAGTTCCTGAAAATAGTATTTCTAAAAGACTTAAAATATAAGGCACTGTAAGGCTTAACTGAAAATCTGCCATTAGTACAAGGTGCTGAATACACTCAATTCTGAGTTTCCTGAGAAATAATGTATCTTGTAAAATTAGTGCTGAAATCTGGCCTAAGCCGTTTGTATACGGAGGAACAAGTGTGAGGATTTCGCTCAAACTTGAAGAGGCTGTAATTTCTTGGTAGTATGGTAGTTTGTGAAACTCTGAGGTACACTTACTAAGTTTAACTTGTTGATTTTTGAAACAGTGCCAAAGGTCACTGGAATCCAGCAGTCTGTCTGTCATACAAGAAAGCTGTTTTCTGAAGCATGTTTAGTTGTTGTTTTCTTGTTTTGTGTGTGCATACCTCTCTCAGACAGTGGCACTGGTGATGTGTTCCAGGGCCCCCTGTACACTATACAAGTATTCTACCTCTGAGCCATACCCCTTCCCTATTTACAAAAGAATTTTTAGGCTTAAACTTCCCTTCCCATAGTCCTTGGTACTAAACTGAGGGCCTAATGCATGCTAGACAGCTTACAGCGCTATTCTCATAGTCCCTTGACTTAAATCCTAGCTCTAAAATTTTGTATGAGAATTTCATTTTATTGTTGGAGACTGGCCAAGCTCACAGCTTCTGATGTCTCCTTATAGGGCATTTGACACTCTTGCCAAAGCACTGACTCCTGGAGAAAGCGCAGCCTGCCAGAGCTCAGGAGAGGGCATAGAAGGAAGCATGCATCTAATTGCCGGGGAGCCGAGCTGCGTGGAGAGAGAGGGGCCCCTGCTCAGCGATTCGCATGTCGCCTTCAGGGTATCTTTCATTTCTTTTTGTCATGTGACTGTCTGATTTTGATCTTCCTTTCGACAATCAGAATTGGCCTGTTAAAACACTTTTAAAGTCAGAAATTTGCAAATTCCTGGTGGAATTTCGGAACTGAACCGGAAACATACACACACACACACACACCCGCCATAGAAGACAGTGAGTGAATCAGCTTGCTGTCCATCAACTGTGAGAGCATAATTAGTTGTTAGATTTTAGACGCAGTAGCTTTTTCTTTCTTTAAGCATGGACAGTCTTTAAGAACTGAATGCACCACTTTGTTCAGTGTCTGCCTATTGCTTTTAGCGTTAATTGGTGTCTAAGACCCAGATATGTTGCTCTTAGGTGAGAAATGATAAACGTGTACATTCCCTTAACCTTAGCCACCCTGCACGGCTCTCATGGGCGGGTGCACATCACCTGATGCATTTCAGTCTCAGGTTTGTATCCCTTAAGGAACACTTGAAATTCCTTTCGTTCTCCTAAGTACACTTTGTAATGGTGCTGGGGACGAAACCCTATGTCCATGGCCCCACGTGTGCTAGGCAACCTGTACCTCTGCTGAGCTCAGCTTCTGTGCACTCCATGAGGTAGCAATGCAGGTAGACTGATGGAAAGGAGACACATAAAGCCTAGAAATCGCTTTCCAACATTCGATTTGTTATTCAAATTAATATGCCCCAACAGAGCTCGGATGTGCTCCCCACTGAGGCCTCATTAACACCATAATGGACCCCCTGCTTGGCTCTTTGCTCTGCCAGTTGTGAAGGGGTGAGTGGCAGAGCAGGTTAGACATAGCAGTTCCGCAGCACGTGAGAATGATTTACAAGAGATTATAAACTTTCCTACATTTCGTGGGAAAAACATTTATAGCTATCAAATGATAAGTGTCTGCACTGCCAATAACTATCTGTTTCGCCATGAAAAATAATAAGACAGAAAATAAATGTATCGGGGCTGGAGAGATGGCTCAGTGGTTAAGAGCACTGACTGCACTTCCAGAGGTCCTGAGTTCAAATCCCAGCAACCACATGGTGGCTCACAACCATCTGTAATGAGATCTGATGCCCTCTTCTGGTGTGTCTGAAGACAGCTACAGTGTATTCATATATAATAAATAAATAAATCTTTAAAAAAAAAAGAAAATAAACGTATCATAGACTAAAACATCACATAAGAGTGATACTTCAAAATTCAGCTTGGTTGGAATAGCCGCAGAATAAGTTCACCTTGGCTTAATTACTGCAACATGCATGATACACCAATGAAATACGTCAAGGAAACCAAGTCTCATATAAAACGCTACTAAAGGTAACTTAGAAATAATTCTAGCATTTTGTCTGCACCTCACAAGGAAAGTTTTCATGGGCGATATAAGAAAACATAGCGAGAATAATATAATTAATACCGTTCTCAAAAGTTATTGTTGGAGCCAGAGACAAGGGTGGGTCAAGGCAAAAGGCTTTTTCCCATTGATCATTCATATTCTAAACAAAATACATTCCTTTGTGTTCTCAGTTTCATTTCCTACTCTGGACTTAGATTGAAGGAAGGACAAGAGAGCTGTAGGCAGAGGCCCAGTGCAAGCCAGGACAAGTGGCTGCTTAGACAGCAGCTCTCAGCCTGCTTAGAGAGGTTCCCATACTCTTAACTGTAGGAAATAAATGCTTCGGACAGAGAATCAAACGAATTCAGATTTTGGCTTTCCTTTCTGGAGTCAGTGGATTCTGTCTCTCAGCTCTTGCTGCCAGTCTTGGGAAGAGGTTTCCTTCCAGTCGTTCCAAGACCACAGTCATTTCATGGTCTGTTCTTCCTTCCACTGGCGTTCTCAGCCTGAATCTCAGGGCAAACATCCTCATTCAGATCATGAACTTCTCTCCTAATCCCTGAGCAAAGCAGGACTGTGTTCCTCAGCTGCTCTGGTTGTCTGGTATAATTTGCATGTTCTCAGATCTGTTCTTTCAGCTGTGAGCTGAAGGTTTTTGGTATTTTTTTTTTATTTTAAGATTTATTTATTTATTTATTTAATATATGTGAGTACACTGTTGCTCTCTTCAGACACACCAGAAGAGGGCATTGGCTTCCATTACAGATGGTTGAGAGCCACCATGTGGTTGCTGGGAATTGAATTCAGGATCTCTGGAAGAACAGTCAGTGCTCTTAACTGCTGAGCCAGCTCTCCAGCCTGAGTTGAAGTTTTTATTCTCAGTTTGTAGTTGAACTAAGATTTGTTTATTCTAGTCTGATTCAAAGCAGCCTAAATGTAGTAAGGAGAAAGTCTCTGACACAGTAAGTGGAGATAAAGAATCTAGGATGGTAATAATAATTAATACTTGTATTTAATCACTTTGAGTTATAATTTCAAAAATCTCTTTCACGGCATTCTTATAAGAATGATTAAGGTAAAAAGGATTTCCATCCTTTAAAGTAAATATATGGGACAAAAGTGAGGTGGTTTCTAAAACTGTTGTGGTGGCTGACCTTGTGACCTCTTTTTTCCTCCCTAGTTGTGACTCTCCTTCACCCTGTGACTGGCCATCCGTCACTGGAACGTTCCCCTTCTTGTTTATTTCCATGGCTGTATTTTAAAGCTCTTTTAACGTTCTAGTTTGACTCATCATGGTAATATTTTATGTTCCTTATCTCTTTCTCCATCGTGTCATGGAGTCTGAAACCAGTGTCATCTTTAACAATCAACCTACTATGTCACTTGACGATCTAAACTGTAACAAGACCCTGTCACGGAAATCAATCAGTCGGTAGCTTCTGCATCAATCAATTCCGTAGCTTCTGTGGCTCCCGTGGGATTCAGTTCAGGCTCTGTCACGTGACCTTTCAAGGCCTTTCCCACTCCGAGTCAAGTCTTCATCACTTGTTGCACAGGCCTTTGCTAACCCTGCCCGCAGTTCTACTGTTGAGACTTGAGTCCTGAGACAGCATCTCCATGTTCACAGAGGTCCGTCAGCGTGCTGAGTGCTAATCCACAGTCACGAAACCTTCAAGGAGAACCCACCTCCCTTAACAAGTCAAATGAGTTTTTTGAAAGTTTTATTCTGACAGTTAGAATTTGACCTAGAAGCTGACCTAGAAAGGTAATTGCCACGGGAAGCAGGGAGACATATTGCTGGGTTTTATTTGTTTAAAATGACTTGGGGAAAGGTTTGGAGGGTGTTTGGTTGGTTGGTTTTTGTTTTTTTAAGGGTGTTGTTTTCTTTTGTGGATTTCTGTCCATTGGGTTTTGAGACAGCGTCTTGCCATGTAGCATATTCTGGTTGTGAAGAGCAGTCCTCCTATTCGCTGACAGAAGCATTCTCAGTTGTTGGTTCGTAGCATCCATCGTTTATAGGACTGGTTGTCTTGGCCAGTCCCCCTAGTTTTTTTGCTCCCCACACTTGCCTCAGGCAGCTTTGATATGGTATAGGTCCCGAAATCCTTACACTCATTCTTGTGTAAGAACAGTTACACCCTTGTTTTCAAAGCATTAACTGTTTGCTTGCTTCTCTTAAGAACTGTTTTCTGGGGCTGGGAAGGATGGCTCAGTCAATAAGTACTTACCACACAGAATGAGGACCCAAGTTCAGACCGAGAGCATCAAAATAAAACATCCAGCACAGTGAGGATGCTGGAAATCCTAGCTCCGAGGAGGGATGCAGGAGGCTCCCTGGAGCTCACTGGCCAGCCAGTTTTACTGGCTCACTGACCTTCAGCTTCACTGAGAGGCCCTGTGAGAAGAGTCAGTGGAGTTTGGCCCCTGAGATGCACTGTGGGAGAATTGACTTCTCAAAGTTGTCCTCTGACCTCCACATGTACACCAAGGCACACATCCATACCCACATGCACATATCATGTGCACAGTAAATAAAAGAAAAAAGTGGTGAGCAGAAGACACTCAACATGAACTCTGTCTCTGTGCATACATCAGCACATATGTGAACATATATATGCATCTCTCTCTCTCTGTCTTTCTCTCTCTCTCTCTCTCTCTCTCTCTCTCTCTCTCTCTCTCTCACACACACACACACACACACACACACACACAGAGAGAGAGAGAGAGAGAGAGAGAGAGAGAGAGAGAGAGATGCTTTCTGAATCATCTGAATCATATTTTGTTTTTTCTGCTACTCCAGTACACATTTACAGTTTTCCATCATGAGGCTACAGGTATTGTTTGATAGTAAAATGCATTCTTAGCATGCCCAAGGCCCTGGGTTCAGTCCTCAAAAGACAGCCTGTATTTTTCCTTTTCTTTTTTAAATGATGTATTTATTTCTATTTTATGCACACTGGTGTTCTGCCTATATGTATGTTCATGTGAGAGTCCCAGATCCCCTGGAGCTGGAGTTATAGACAATTGTGAGCTGCCATGTGGTTGCTGGAAATTGAACCCAGGTCCTCTGCAATAGCAGCCAGTGCTCTTAACTGCTGAGCCATCTCTCCAGCCCCTCCCTTTTCTTGTATGGGATTTAAACCATCTATTTCCCTGTCTCATTATTTGGTGCTATCAATATTAATCAATAGGTGAACCCCACTGGGGGGGGGGTAGCTCAATCAATAGAGCCTTTGTCCAGCTTACGTGTCTAATGCTCTTAGATCCCCAGCACTACAGATAAGAATATATGCCAGCATGCTTGAGTTCCACAATCTTTTTTTCCTATTGAAAATCATATTTTTATACAACCTATTCTTATCACAGTCTCTCCCTCCCATCTCCTCCAGAGCCTCCCTACCCTCCACCATCCAACTCCTCTCTTTCTCTCTCTCTCTTGCCCTCTCACTCTCTCATTCTCTCTTTCTCTAAAACAAGCAAAAACCGAACAAACCAGAAATAAAAAAAATGTACAAGAAACACACACACCATAAAAATGCAAAATTGGAAACTATAATATACAAGCAAAAGGAGACCCCACATTCTTTTCCTGTAAGAATTAGATAAATCTTGGCGCCTAATTTTGAACTGAGAAAAAGTGTACTTTACTTAATTTTTTAAT